CAGATTTTTAGTCCTATCCGATCCGTGTGTTTACCAGCGATCTGCCAGGATTAGATCACTGGTAATTGTGACATCTTGTTTGGTGCAAATATGTAAACATTCTTGATTTTGCTTGGTTATGGAATTAAAGGTGTTGCAGAAGAGACAGAACTGTAATTAATCATTTAAATTTTAGGTCCCACTTTATATTAAGTGGCCTTAACTAATATGTACTTACACAGTAGTTAATAGTTTGTTACAATGTACTTATTGTGTAAATACATGTATTTACTGTGTACTTAAGCTTGATTAAATACATGTATGTAATTACATCTGTAAGTAACTTCTGTAATAACATTTGTAAATACACTGCTGACCATCCCTTACACCTTAACCTACCCTTAAATCTACCCATGCCACCAGACCTGTCCATAACCCAACCTCTATCCCAACTCAAAAGCACCACAAGTGTTCTCAAATACATTAAAAACACAGTAAGTACATTGTATTAATTTTTTGATGTAAGTACATAGTAGTTAGGGACACTTAATATAAAGTGGGACCAAATTTTATATTAAATAGTTGTTATCTTCACTGTCATTGATTTATTATACACTACCTGACAGAAGTCTTGATGTCGATCCCAGTTGTAAGAGCAATAAATAATAACTAGACTTTTAGTTGATCATTTGGAAAAGTGGCAGAAGGTGGATTTTTCTGATGAATCATCTGTTGAACTGCATCCCAATCATCACCAATACTGCAGAAGACCTACTGGAACCCGCATGGACCCAAGATTCTCACAGAAATCAGTCAAGTTTGGTGGAGGAAAAGTCATAGTTTGGGGTTACATTCAGTATGAGGGCGTGCGAGAGATCTGCAGAGTGGATGGCAACATCAACAGCCTGAGGTATCAAGATATTTGTGCAGCCCATTACATTACAAACCACAGCAGAGGGCAAATTCTCCAGCAAGATAGCGCTCCTTCTTATACTTCAGCCTCCACATTAAAGCTCCTGAAAGCAAAGAAAGTCAAGGTGCTCCAGGATTGGCCAGCCCAGTCACCAGACATGAACATTATTGAGCATGTCTGGGGTAAGATGAAGGAGCAGGCATTGAAAATAAATCCAAAGAATCTTGATTAACTCTGGGAGTCCTGCAAGAACGCTTTCTTTGCCATTCCAGATGACTTTATTAATCAGTGATTTGAGTCAGTGCAGAGATGTATGGATGCAGTCCTCCAAGCTCATGATGGAGTCAGACACAATATTCATTCAGTTTCCACTGCAGCAGGACTTTATATTCTATACTGGACATTATTTCTGTTAAGTGACAAGACTTTTGTTTAAGCAAAGTCAGACCTTACTGTTCTAATGAAATTATTATTAAAATAAGTGTAATTTAGAGGCCTTTGCCTTTTATATAAGCCATTTCTGATATTAAATGATCAACTAGAAGTCAAGTTATTATTTGTTGTTCCTAAAACTTGAATAGACAACAAGACTTTTGTCATGTAGTGTATATATTTTATATACAGAGAGATTAATGTTAAGTTACATATGTGAGGTATATACATGTAAAAATAAAGTAACACTTATTCTGATGTACTTGTATGAAAAAATGAATGAATGATCATACCACAATTATAAATGACTGTGGTTTGAAGGATAGTGACTCAAAAAGAGTATTTTTGGACATGCACTGTGATTCTTACATAGAGCCTTTCAATATTTCATTCATAATGATAATGACTTCATTTATATTTGATAAGGACTATTAATAGGTTTTCCTTTTTTATGCACAGAAAAAAAGAAAAATAGGACTCATCCTAAAATATAGACAAAATCGACTTGGTAAAGGTGTCTGTATTTTAGAATATTTGGGTAGTTATCCTGACAAATGATCCTATTTTTTTATATATTAATTTGAAATATTTATTTATTTTACTGTTTTCATTGGTCAGGAATAAATTGTAGGCCATCAGACACATTTTCTGATCACATGAACCATTGTTTAATGACCTGCATTTTATTTCTGACCAGTAAAATAAATAAAAAAAAACATTTCTATCATATTTTTTTTGCTTTGAAGTTATGTGAATAAAAAAAAATATGATGTATATAATCAGTAGTGAGCATAAAAAAAAAATACATATAAAAACCGAAATAGAGGAACACAGGAAGTGAAAAAATAATAATAAAAATAAAACAACCATGACAAACTAGCCTTTAAACTAAAGAGTAAATGGCAAAGATTAATCCAGATTATTGTATTCAAAATAAAAGTTTGTTTGTGACATGACATATTCATTCCTTACATTAATATAGCGCTTTTCTAGACACTCAAATCGCTTTACACATTTTTGGGGGAATCTTCTCATCCACCAGCAGTGTGCAGCATCCACCTGGATGACACAACGGCGGCCTTATTGCGCCAGACCGCACACCACACACCAGCTGATTGGTGGAGAGAAGACAGAGTAATGAAGCCAATAATGATATGGGGATGGACAGAGGCCAGTGGGCAAATTTGGCCAGGATGGTCAGCAACATTAAAGCATGGATCCATCCTGCCTTGTATCAATGGTTCAGGCTGGTGGTGGTGGTGTAATGGTGTGGGGGATATTTTCTTGGCATGCTTTGGACCCATTAGTATCAATTGAGCATCTTGTCAACTCCACAGCCTACCTGAGTATTGTTGCTGACCATGTCCATTTATCTCTTTATGACCGCAGTGTACTCATCTTCTGATGGCTACTTCCAGCAGGATAACGCACCATGTCATAAAGCGTGAATCATCTCAGACTGGTTTCTTAAACATGACAATGAGTTCACTGTACTCAAATGACCTCCACAGTCACCAGTTCTCAATCCAATAGAGCACCTTTGGGATGTGGTGGATCGGGAGATTCACATCATGGATGTTCAGCTGACAAATCTGCAGCAACTGTGTGATGCAATATATGGAGCAATAATATGGCGCAAAATCTCTGAGGAATATTTCCAGTAGCTTGTCTAATCTACGCCACGAAGGATTAGGGCAGTTCTGAAGGCAAAAAGGGGTCCAAGCAGATACTAGTAAGGTGTACCTAATAAAGTGGCCGGTGAGTGTACATAATAAAAATATACATAAGACACACACATATATATTATGTCAGAACAAACTTTTATTTTGAATGCAATCAATTGCAATAATCTTTGCGCAGCACTAATAATAAAACATAAAGTTTATCTAAATAATCTACTCCAAAGTGCAAAAGAAATGTATTAAAGGTTAAGTAAAGGTAATATTAACCCAAGCTAAAATACATAAATTAAATGAATAATATGTATTAATTAAGATAAGTCTATGACATTTAAAAAATTACAATTGAATACCTTTAAAAGAGTGTTTGATTACTCATTGCACTAGAACAATGATCCAGATGTGATCATGCCTTAGAAATGCATTGTCTTTAATGCAAGTCAAGTGTCAGTCATGCATTATGCAGCGTTCGCAGTCTCTGGCTGTCTCGAGCATGTGCGTTTTGCATAACTCAACGCGGTACTGCATCTTCAAGCATCTTTGAGCAGCTTGTCCTCAGAGTCGGTGTCTTTAATGCAGAGTTCAAGGAGCATCTGTAAAGCAGCCACAGATCAGTTTTTGCCAAACGTTTAGCTCAGATTAGCCATTTAAAGGGCTCCACATCAAGACAGCACCGGCCAGACATATGCT